CCTCAAATGTCCATAGCGTTCATCACTCACACGTTGTTCTCGTTTGAAATGAATTCTAATCCATCATGTTCTAGCCAACCATTGTCTTCGGTTCTCAACTATGGTTGTCATACCATATCTCCAGAACCCTGAAATCTGGTCTGTCAAATGGTGTTTATCTGTGGTATACTGATTCAAAACTAATTTTCCCTCTTTGTGTGTGTGTTTGTTTCCATCTTTCCTTAGCTAGGCTCAGCAATAGAGTAGAGCGATCGCCCAGAGCAGAAACTGGGTACCAGTCTGGCACCTCCAGTGCCCGTTAAAATTCCGCACCGGAAACGATTGCCTCCATACGCGGACAGTCAACATTGACATCTGTGTCAATAAAAGTTGCAAGCGCTCTGTCGCAAGCACATACACGCACAGGGAGAGAGAGATGCGTGTGACGATATCCTGTCTATCTCCTCTCTCGAACGAATGTACACAAGGTGCATACGACGCGGTACACACAACACTTAGTTTTATCTCGGACTGATCGTGACTGATCGTTTCAGGCTGCTTTTATTCGTCACTCATCACTCACTCGTCCATGTGAAGTGTGCAACTCTGCCGAGGTTGCTCACCTGTCTACCGAGTTGGATGAGTCATGATCAGGCACAGACAGACAGACAGATAGATATACGGACAGACAGACACCCCACATACAAGAATACAGCCACACCTGACGACGTGATTTTATTGTGCAACTGACCAGGCACAGGAAACGAATACGCGCAAACACACACGACGAAGGATCAGTTGAGATGCCGCTTGTGTGGTTCTTGTGAGTGGACCATCAAAACGCTCCCACCCTGGATTTCGTCTAAGATTTTACTTCAGGTTTCAGACCGCTCGATAGTGATCGCGACTTCAAGTATCCTCACTACCACTGTGACTTTTCCCCACGCCTCTGGTTCACTTTGTTTGTCGTGACACGTTCTGCGAGGAATCAGTATTGATGCGGGTGAGTATCCGACCGGGATGGATTATAGGCGATCAGCTAGCGAACATTTTTGGTCAACTCAGAATGATCGTTTACTCCATCCCCATCCCCACCCCACTCCTCACTCGCACCGCCCCCCCGTCCCCGCGTGTGTGTGTGTGTGTGTGTGTGTGTGTGTGTGTGTGGAGAACCTTCTACTTCCCGTTCTTTGTGTCGGAATGTGGCGAAAACCCCAAATATGAGCCCCTTTGTCATCGAAATCCTA